CCCCAAAACCCCAAAACCCCAAAACCCCTGGAATCAAAATATTAGCTATTAGAAGAAATACTATTATTCGCAGTAAATTCAGTGACATTAACTACTTATTTGATTAGAAGAAATTTAATATTTGAAAATTTAATAGAGAATTAGATGAAATAAAGTGTATTACAGAAGGTAAGTGAATCTTATAAAGACGTGCATGATCTCAACACAAAGGCTACTAAGGATTCGCAACCTCTTCTGAAATATAAAATAGATCTAGACACAGATCACTTAGAAAAATATCTCAAATCAATCTAGTCTCTTCAAATTTAATAAGCAAAAGCATTGAATTAGGTGATTGAGAAGTTAGAGAGCGATGATGACAGGCAGGGTGAGCTAATGCTTCATCTAGATAAAATTGAAAAAAGAATCGAGGGGACTCAAGTAAATTTCTATCAATAACATATTTTTAAGATGACTATTCAAAATATTTAAGAAAAGAATGTCTAAAATGAAACAAAACTACTCTAAATCACTAGTAGAGTTAAGGACCTCGGGAGTACATTAGAATAAGAAAGTGAATTAAGAAGATAAATTGATTAAGAGAGGAAAAAAGATTTCACACTCGCATTAGAGGTATGTAATATTTTATAACACATGGTTTACTTAGGATTTGAGAGTTAAGATAATGGTCATTGAAAATGAATTAGAGAAACATCAGGCAAAACTCAAAAATTTTGAAGAGATAGAATTCGATACAAAAATGAATCAGCGATTGCAAGAACCTTTAGAAAAGATTTAAATGCTAGAGGATGAAGTAGCTCTCATGGATTAATAATATATAACTGAGGATAACAATCTAAGCAAAAACTTAAACGCAATAGAAAATATTTCGATGAGGCCGGATTAGCAAAATGAAGATGGCATGGGCTTTGAAATGAAAAAGACGTTTGATATGAGTTAACTTGGGAACAATTAAAACCAAGAAAGCGATTTCAAACCTAAAAAAATGGCAGGATTTCACAGATAAATGACTAAAATGAGCGTTGTTTAAAGAAGGCAATTCGGAACTGATCCTTTTGAGGCTGTAAAATAAATGCTCGAAAAAAGAGTTGAGGATCTAGAAAAAGCTGTTTACATATATGGTATTGGAGAGGAAAAAAATAATTTGTAAAATGATGGTTTTACTCCAGGATCAGTCAAATCTCAAAAGAACAACCTTCAAGGAGATTCTGCTTAGAAAAATAAGTTGAAATTTGACTTTAGAAAAAATGCAGCAGAGAAATTATTATTTTCGGGTGATAACCAATAAAATTTATCTCCATAATAACGTGCAAAACTAAGAGAGTAAATTTTAGAGAGGGTTTTGCATATGAATCCATAAAAGCTAAATGAAAATTTAGTTGTAGAGCTTTACAGCAAGTACAAGTTGATGAACGCAGAAGTTTAACTGTATAATGAATTTTTTGAAAAACTTACTTCCAAGGAGCTAGACGTAAGTGATATGGGACAATTTCAAGATAAGATGCGTAGAGTTGGAATATCATTAGTTGGAGATGTAGAATAATTGAAAGATGATTGTTCTTCCGTTAAGTTCGTGGAAGATAAACTAGAATTCAATAAGAGGTAGAAAATGTTTTGTCAAATAATGATGAGTTCACATTTAAGATAAGAAATAAGTAAAGTGATATTTTATTGCAAGCACATGAGTCTGTTAATGATGAATAATCTAAAGCTTTACTCTTGTAAATAAAATAATTATTTCATACATATAGAGTTCAATAACTAAAAAGGGAATTATTGATTGATTTGAATCTCAATAAGGATTTAGTGAGGAACTATGAGCTTGCAGCGAGAAGACTAGAAAACGTGTTGATTCATAAAATAGATGCAGAAAAGATAAAGGAATTTGACAAAGTATTAAAGGATGATGTCAAGGATTTTTTAAGTTTAACATCAACTGGGAAAAAATTACAAGATCTGGATTTTAAAGTAAACTAGTTCAACGCCTAACTCAAGTAATTAAGTTATTTATTTATTTTGAAATAGTGAGATGATGATATTGGTAGGAAATAAGAATTCAGATTTGGATGATAGTGGTGTAAAGGATAATCTCAACATCTCTGAAAAGTTCAAGAGCATAGAAGCTAGACTTCAAGACATTTACAGTTTTTACAATAGATACCAAAGGAAATTCAGTATGACAAATGGCTAAGATGACTTTAGGTCTTCGAGCGAGGAGGATAGTAATTACAACCAAAGGAAATTGCATGACAAACATAGATCAATGCAAGTACTGACAAACAAAGAAGACTCAATGGGAATATCTCAAAAAAGTCCTCCTTAGAGTCCAGGCAGAAGGAAGAAGAAGGGATCTGGATACGAAAAGAGAATTAGTATTTTAAATGTATAACCGAGCACAGGAAAATTGTCAAAGCTCAGTGAGTTAGATGACTTGAAAGAATATGTTAAAGGTCTAGAATTTAAATTAAACGGATTCATGATGAAAGTTGAAGAGAATTTCCAAAATGATTTTGGTTCAGATGGGGAGGAATATCTTCATAAACCTAACAGTAACTCACCATAAAATAGCAAAGAAGACTTGACATAAATAGGGGCTAAACAAAAACAGATTTCTCAGGAGGTTATGCAAATTAGAAACTAGATGAGTAAACATCAGATTCAAATAGCTAGGCTGGATTAGGAACTGACTAGGTAAGATCAGCAAAGATAGGCTCATGATTTCGATAAGATTTACAAAACAGTTTAGGAAAATTATGAACTGTTAAAACGATATATAGATGAAGTTAACAGCTATTCAAAAGATTTCTATGAAAGAATCTAATCAAGGTTGAATTTTAAAGCTGACACAGATTTCTTTTAAAAGCATCAGAGCAATGTTGAGGAGAAAATTGTATCTGAACTAAATAGGAAGATTGACAAACTAGAACTCAAAAGAGCGCATAATGCAATCAGGAGAAAACTTGACAAGCTTGAGGATAAAGTTATTGATCTAAAGAACAATCCTAGAGGTAGAGATCAAGTTGGGCCAGTAGCCCTTTCAAATACAAACAAAAAATGCATAAGCTGCTATAGAGATATGAATGAAGAGTTGCAATACCTATAAATGACTCCTTAAAAACCTTCAACATCTATGTAGACAGAAAGAGGTCCACAGACTTAAGTTTTTAATCCTTTGAATAGTGGTTCTGTGATGATACCATTCACAAATGTTCCACTAACTAACAAATATCTATTTAGGGAGCTAGCTTAAAAAGGCAGAAAATATGGCTTAGGCTTTAGCAGAATCTTAAATAAGATTTAGCCAAATTAAATTGAAGAAATATAAGTGGGTTTTATGACTCATCGGGGTTTGGTTGGCTCTCTATCCAGATAAGAATTGCAAGCAAGGGCCTCAATTCCAAGATAGCTCGACACTAATCTTCATTAAAATCAGATTTTTGACGCATAAGATATTAGAGGGTCTATTCGGGAAAGTGGAAGCATGGAAAGAAAAATATCGTTAAAACTACCTACTCCTAAAAATACGACACCCAATCTACAATAATAGCAACAGGTCCTAAATAATTCAGGCAAAATATCAGTTTAAAATAACTACAGAAGCATTAAATCTCCATCCTAAAATGTGCTGATAAAGTCATAATAACTAGCAAATTCAAGAATAGGACTGTAAACAAGCTCATAGCAAACTATAGCCACATCAACTCATCTGCTTTGATGATCCTAATAACTCTGAATTAAACTTACTAAAAATTAATTTCATAAATTAGATATTTACCTAGTAATATTCCTTCAGGGGTTTTGGGGTTTTGGGGGG